GGCTGTTGAATTTTGTCAAAAGCCTTTTCCGCATCTATTGAGATAATTATGTGGTTTTTGTCGTTGGTTCTGTTTATGTGATGGATTACATTTTCTGATTTGCATATGTTGAACCAGCCTTGAATCCCAGGGATGAAGCCAACTTGATTGTGGTGGATAAGCTTTTTGATGTGCTGCTGGATTCGGTTTGCCAGTATTTTATTGAGGATTTCACAATGATGTTCATCGGGGATATTGGCCTAAAATTCTCTTTTTTTGTTGTGTCTCTGCCACGCTTTGGTATCAGGATGATGCTGGCCTCATAAAACGAGTTGGGGAGGATTCCTTCTTTTTCCATTGAATGGAATAGTTTCAGAAGGAATGGTGCCAGCTCCTCTTTGTACCTCTGGTAGAATTGGGCTGTGAATCCATCTGGTCCTGGACTTTTTTTGGTTGGTAGGCTATTAATTATTGCCTCAATTTCAGAACACGTTATTGGTCTATTCAGAGATTCAACTTCTTCCTGGTTTAGTCTTGGGTGGGTGTATGTGTCCAGGAATTTATCCATTTCTTCTAGATTTTCTAGTTTATTTGCATAGAGGTGTTTATAGTATTTGCTGATGGTAGTTTGTATTTCTGTGGGATCGGTGGTGATATCCCCTTTATCATTTTTTATTGCATCTATTTGATTGTTCTCTCTTTTCTTTTTTATTAGTCTTGCTAGCGTCCTATCTATTTTGTTGATCGTTTTTAAAAAAACAGCTCCTGGATTCATTGATTTTTGAAAGGTTTTTTGTGTCTCTATCTCCTTCAGTTCTGCTCCGATATTAGTTATTTCTTGCCTTCTGCTAGCTTTTGAATGTGTTTGCTCTTGCTTCTCTAGTTCTTTTAATTGTGATGTTAGGATATCAATTTTAGATCTTTCCTGCTTTCTCTTGTGGGCATTTAGTGCTATAAATTTCCCTCTACACACTGCTTTAAATGTGTCCCAGAGATTCTGGTACGTTGTGTCTTTGTTCTCACTGGTTTCAAAGAACATCTTTATTTCTGCCTTCATTTCGATATTTACCCAGTAGTCATTCAGGAGCAACAGCTACTTTTTTTCTTTTTCTTTTTTTAATTTTTTTACCAGTCATCATGTAGGGAAGAAAAAATATCATCTCCTTCTAACCTTCTAAGTTCTTGACTGGGGCCTCTGTAAGAAAAGACAGATTAACAAGATAAAAAGCATATAAATTTATTCAATATTAGTTTACATTACATGGGAACCTTCTTAAGGACATGAAGAATGGAAGAAATGATTAAACCTCAGCATTTTTATGCTAGGTTTGACAGAGAATGAAAAGTCATAGGAAATGTAATAATACAAAGGATATGAGCTAAGTGTAGTACAGTCAGGAGAACTTTGCACCCCTTGTTTGTTCAGATTTCTTATTTGGAGATAAGGATGCTTCTTTCATTTGAGTACAGGGAGAACACTTCTTACATGAGGGTCTTATCCTATGACCTGCTTCATGGGAGAAGGGCCAGGGAAGAGAGAGGTGAGATATTCCTTCTCCAATTCCTTCTGCTTAAAATATTTAAATTTTAAAAATTCAATTAAAGTGTCATAATTTGGGGTAGCATGGCCTGAACTCCAATCAATAGAATTACCTTTGCTCTCTGAAACACCCAACTATGGGGAACCAAACCTCATTCCCCTAAATTCTAACACTGTCTTACTGAGACACCTCATGATGTGTCTTCTCTCTTGCTTAGTGAGCAATGAATTTAACTTGTTCAACCACAAATGTCCCTGTGTCTCCGGCTGAAGGGCATATTTCAGAGATCTTAATAGTCTTTATTATGCCTTTTGATGGGGACCACCACTTCTTTTTTTTTTTTTTTTTTTTTTCTGAGACAGAGTCTTGCTCTTGTTGCCCCAGGATGGAGTGCAGTGGCACCATCTCGGCTCAGTGCAACCTCTGCCTCCCAGGTTCAAGGGATTCGCCTGCCTCAGCCTCCTAAGTAGCTGGGATTACAGGCACACACCACCACCTTTGGCTAATTTTTGTCTTTTTAAGAGGTAGGGTTTCACCATGTTGGCCAGGCTGGTCTCAAATACCTGCCTCGGCCTCCCACAGTGCTGGGATTACAGGCGTGAGCCATCGCGCCCTACCCACGGAGTGCTTTTTTTTTTTTCTTAATCAGAGGATATCGGCCTACTTCTTTGACCGCTCGCTTAGACTGCAAGGTAACTAAGAACCCGCAACACACCCCGGTCTGGGGGCCTAGATAGTGACGCATGGAGTCCGCCAGGTGGTGGCGGCGGAGCACGCTGGGAACGCAGGGCTTCCGTCGGCCTGGCCCGGAAGGGCTGGCGCTTGGTAACGCCAGCTTCCCTAGCAACCAAGCAGGCGAAAGCAGCAGCCAGCCGCGCTCCGCTCCCGTTGTTCCCGGAATGCCCCTTCAGGTTAGCGATTACAGCTGGCAGCAGACGAAGACTGCGGTCTTTCTGTCTCTGCCCCTCAAAGGCGTGTGCGTCAGAGACACGGACGTGTTCTGCACGGAAAACTATCTGAAGGTAAGAATGCAAGTCTTGCCTGCCGGTCCCCGGGGGTGTGGTCCGAAGCTTCTACAAGAGCGCAGCTGGGCACGAGCAACCGGCTCATCTTTACAGATAAACGTCCTAAATTTTTAATCCTGTTAAAAAAATGAATCCCATACAGGTGACACACCATCTGTAGACAGATCATCAGATCAGAGACTACTGTTATCCAGGGCTTCCTCATATGCCTTGCTAATCTTTCACTACCTGGAATATAGTGGGCCTTTTAGAAAGTTATTTTACCTTTTTCACGTATTTCTTAATACGCGTGCTTAATTTGTGTAACTAACTTAGTTTCTGTTTTCACCCTTCTGCATAGGTCAACTTTCCTCCATTTTTATTTGAGGCATTTCTTTATGCTCCCATAGACGATGAGAGCAGCAAAGCAAAGATTGGGAATGACACCATTGTCTTCACCTTGTATAAAAAAGAAGCGGCCATGTGGGAGACCCTTTCTGTGGCGGGTGGTAAGTTCCTTTTTTTTTTTTTTGGTCTTTGAGACGGAGTCTCGCTCTGTCGCCCAGGATGGAGTGCAATGGCTTGATCTCTGCTTACTGCTACCTCCGCCCCCTCGGGTTCGAGGGATTCTCCTACCTCAGCTTCCCAAGTAGCTGGGATTACAGGTGCCCGCCACCACGCCCGGCTAAGTTTTTTTGTATTTTTAGTGGAGCATTTCGCCATGTTGGCCAGGCTAATCTCAAACTCCTGACTTAAGTGATCCACCCGCGTCAACCTCCCAAAGTGCTGGGATTACGGGTGTGAGCCACCACACCCGGCCAGATAGACTTTCCTTTTTTCTCCAAGGTTCAATAGCTGGGTCTATGAAATAAACTAACAACAGAAGGATTGACAGAAGAAAATGTATAGAAATTTATTAATTTTTAATATTAGTGCTTAGGGGCATCACAGGGAAAAAAGTGAATACCCCCCAAAGCAGTGAGATTTGAGAGTTTAGGGACTCTCTTAATAGGGGAAGGGGGAGGGGATGTAGGCCACTTAGAACAGGAAATGATTTTTAGGAAAGATGAATGGATCCTTAGAAGAATAGATAGGAGATGTGATAGTTTTTAACAAAGTTTGTCAGAGCGTGGTGTTGACTTGTAGTTTCCTCTTCTGGGACAATAGTCAATATTCCCTGGTTAATGAAACTCCAGGAGAAGGGATTTATGACCCTTGAGTTCCTTTTGGAAAATCTGTTTTTAGGCAGATAAGAGTTCAGAGAAAACCTCTCCCTGCATTTGCTGCTTTTTAGGTGCCTTTAACTCAAAATGATTGCTATATCAAAGCAGCATAGTTTGGGGTGGCATATCGTGAACTCTTTCAATTGCTCTTTTAGAAAAAAAAAAAGGCTTATGAGCCTAATTTAAGTGATACAGTGCTTCAGCAGCCATTTAAATAAACCTAAAGGCCAAATTAGTTAAAGTTAGAGCACATTAAGCAGAAGATGTGGGCGCATATCTTAAGGGTAAGCCCTCCTGATGTATAGCCTTTGTGGAATACTTAACTTTGCATTAGGCGTTAACATACCTGTAATTCCCTGAAACAACCTGTCACTTAGGTATTATTACCCTTTTTTTAACAGGGGAGGCTACTGACACATGGAAAGGTTGAGTAATTGGCAAAATCACACAGCTAGTGACTGGCAACCTGGAACTGGAGCCTTAGCAGTTTCACTCTAGAGCAGATGTTCCCAACCCTGGCTACATATTTGAATCAGCTATGAAATTTTAAAATAATACCCTAAACCAGTCAAATCAGTTTTTGGGAATAGGATTCAGGTGTTGGTAGTTTTTGACAAGCTTTCCAGGGATTATAATGAGCAGCCAGAGTTGAAATCCCCAGTTGTTGTTTGTTTTGTTTGTTTTGAGAGACGGAGTCTCACTGTCGCCCAGGCTGGAGTGCAGTGGCGTGATCTCGGCTCACTGCAACCTCCACCTCCTAGGTTTAAGTGATTCTTCAGCCTCAGCCTCCCAAGTAGCTGGGACTCCAGGCACATGCTACCATGTCCAGCTAATTTTTGTATTTTTTAGTAGAGACAGGGTTTCACTATATGTTGGCCAGGCCGGTCTCGAACTCCTGACCTCAAGTGATCTGCCCGCCTCGGCCTCCCAAAGTACTGGGATTACAGGCCTGAGCCACCGCAACTGGCCTGACATCCCCAGTTTTAAAGCTAGTTCTCTGTAATCTTACTAAGCCAGTTGTCAGTACTTTGTATTGATACCAAGATCAGCTTCGATAGTCAGTACATGTCCTCTACTGCTTTAGCCCTGTTCTTCTTCTTCCTTCTTTAGTTGTCATGTTTTCTAATACTTCATGTTTACTGCCTGGAATTTCTTTTTTTTAATTTTGGGTTTTTTAAGAGATAGAGTCACCAACTCTGTCACCAACGCTGGAGTGTGGTTGGTGTTATAGCTCTTTGTAACCTTAAACTCCTAGGTTCTAGCAATTCTCCTGCCTTGACCTCCTGAGTAGCTGGGACTACAGGTGTGCACCAAAACACCTAGTTAATTATTTTTATTTTTGTAGAGACAGAGTCTCACTATGTTGCCCATAGGTCTTGAACTCCTAGGCTCAAGTGATCCTCCCACTTTGGCCTCCCAAATGCTGGGATTTCAGGCGTGAACCACTACACCCAGCCTACTGCCTGGACAATTTCTTTTAAGTCTTTGGCATTAAGCCTTGAATATGGACTCTTGAGGATAGAAAGAGTTGCAACCATTCTTTCTATCAAAGCTTTCTTGGTATGTTATAGAGGAATTTAATTTTTAATTTCCAAGACCAAGGTAGAATTAATTTTTCTAAGATCAGGTATTCAGCTCAGAAAATACTGGTTAAGGTAGGTTAACATAGCCAATTTACTTAAAATTTTTTTTTTCTTTTTTTTTTTAGTGAGCCCCAGACTACCTAAAGAGTTTTAAATAATCAGATTCCTGTTTTTTGACCTCTGACTTCCTCTGTGACTCAGTAAGTCTATATTGGGGCCTGAGGATGTCATAAAACACACCTATGCTGTTTTGACTTCTTACCTAAAATTGAATGTACATTTATTTTGACTCTTATAAATTAAATAAATTAACTTTTTCTGCAAAGGACCAGATAGTATTTTAGACTTCGCAGGCACTATGGCCTCTGTCACATCTATTCAGCTCTGCCACTGTAGCACAAAAGTAGCCACAGATGATTCGTGTTTATGGACATTGAAATTTGAATTTCATCTAATTTTTACATGCCACAAAATATTATTTTGATTTTTTTCATTCGTTTAAAAATGTGAAAATTATTCAAGGCTTGTGGGCTGAGGGGAAACAGGTGGCAGGTTGGATTTGGCCCGGGGTCATAGTTTGACAACCTCTGACTTAGACAAATCAAAACAGTCCTAAAACTAACTTAAGCTGAGTGCAGTGGCTCATGCTTGTAATCCCATCATTTTGGGAGGCCAAGGCAGGTGAATCACCTGAGGTCAGGAGTTTGAGACCAGCCTGGCCAACATGGTGAAACCCTGTCTCTATTAGAAATACAAAAATTAGTCGGGTGTGGTAGCAGGTACCTGTAATCCCAGCTACTTGGGAGGCTGATGCTGGAGAATCCTTTGAACCCGGGTGGTGGAGCTGCAGCAAGCTGAGATCTCATCACGGTACTCCAGCCTGGGCAACAGAGTGAGACTCCATCTCAAAAAATAAAAATAAAAAACCATTAATTTATATCACAGTTAATGAACATTGATTCTACTTCAGAAACCAGGTTTGAGATTCCTTGAGAACTCAAACTCAGTTTGCCAGGTGCGATGGCTCACACCTGTAATCCCAGCACTTTGGGAGGCCGAGGCGGGCTGATCATCTGAGGTCGGAAGTTCGAGACCAGCCTGACCAACATGGAGAAACCCCATCTCTACTAAAAATACAAAATTAGCCAGGCGTGGTGGTACATGCCTGTAATCCCAGCTACTCATGAGGCTGAGGCAGGAGAATCACTTTAACCCGGGAGGTGGAGGTTGCAGTAAGCCGAGA